TTGACCTACATATGTACATATATAGTTCTTGTAAATCTAGCATTTATAGCTTTCAAAGTATGTATATAGTCAAATATACAAATATTAATCTTAAAGTCTAGTCGCAAGTGAAAAAAGTCGTCGTTGATGATAATAAATAAAAATAATGAAATGTTTGTCTGAATTTTTTTAATCATTTTGTTTTATTATTTATTTTTATTTTAAAATAAATACAGGTTTTATAAAAAAAAAACAAACACGTGAATATTTGTTTTTGAAATCAATGAATATTGTAATTTAAATTTGAGTTGTGGAATATATAATGATTTTTGTTTTATTTTTGAGAGAGAGAACATTAAACATGATATTTACTTCCTGAAATGTTTTAAAAAACCGGATAAATTGTTAGACGAATATAATATCTGGAAATGCAAAAAGTAAACGGAAGGAAGGTCGCGAGTATGACACATATAATTTTTGGACCAGCATTTGAATGTTTTAATGACACGACTAAAAAAGTGTAAATTCATTGCGTTATTTACTTTTTTATGGTGCAAATAATATTTGTCTACAATTGAATTTTGAATTAAATGATTTCAATGAACTTGTTGCTTTTTATTCAAGGACAAGCAAACAACTTAAATTTGTGCGTTATATAGCAAAAAAGTTTGCTGTACCTACACACAAGAAAGATATAGCAAAAATGTGTATATTAAGGTAGTTCAAAGAAAACATTTGGCAAAAAGTTTCCAACTAAAAGAAAGTTTCGGCTATACCGAACTTTACATACCCACTATCACAACATATGACCAATATTTTGTTGTATTACAAAAGCATTGACAACATACTATATTTTAAAAACAAGTGCCACCCTAATGTACTTGGGTATATTCCCCCAAAAATACACGAACTTGCTTGCATTATAATTATTATGCAAACAACGTCTTCACCGAAAAATAACAGAGACCGCACATTGTTATTTTTTTAAAGAATGTTTAACATTTTTCTTTTGCATAAAATACAGGCAATAAACAAAAAAAAAAACTTCATAAATCTTTAATTAGTTTTTTATGGTCCATATAAGGAATTGTTTTTAATGAAATTTTTATAAAAGGGAAAATCTTTAAAACTTTAATATGGGTCATTTACTAACGCAAAACAATATAAACAAGGGCGTATGTAAAACAGATTTTGGAAGGGCATTTTTACGACTTTTTAAGTGATTTCACGTTTTCGACCAAAACGTCAAATTTTTGAAGAATTGTATAGCTATATATTCAAGACTATAGAATAATCTATTGTCAAGACTGTAGACTAATCTACAGTCAAGACTATTGGTGAATAGTGCGGGAGCTAGGTGCAATTGTGGAAAGAATTCATTATTGAATTGATTAATCTTGACTGTAGATTAGTCTATAGTCTTGACTATAGATTAGTCCATAGTCTTGACTATAGTTGGGTTAGTCTATAGCCTTGACTATAGATTAGTCTATAGTCTTGACTATGGATTAGTCTACAGTCTTGACTATAGATTATTCTATAGTCTTGACTATAGATTAATCTAAATTCTTGACTATAGAATAGTCTATAATCTTTACTATAGATTAGTTTATAATCTTTACTATAGATTAGTCTATAATCTTGACTATAGATTAGTCTATAGTCTTGACTATAGATTAGTCTATAGGCTCGACTATAGATTAGTCTATAGGCTTGACTATAGATTAGTCTATAGGCTTGACTATAGATTAGTCTATAGTCTTGATTATAGATTAGTCTATAGTCTTGACTATAGATTAGTCTATAGTCTTGAATATAGATTAGTCTATAGTCTTGACTATAGATTAGTCTATAATCTTGACTATAGATTAGTCTATAGTCTAGACTATAAATTAGTCTATAGTCTTTACTATATTTAGGTTAGTCTATAGTCTTGACTATAAATTAGTCTATAGTCTCGACTATAGATTAGTATATAGTCTTGACTATAGATTAGTCTATAGTCTTGACTATAGATTAGTCTATAGTCTTGATTATAGATTAGTCTATAGTCTTGAATATAGATTAGTCTATAGTCTTGACTATAGATTAGTCTATAATCTTGACTATAGATTAGTCTATAGACTTTATTATAGATTAGTCTATAGTCTTGACTATAGATTAGTCTATAGTCTTGACTTTAGATTGTTCTACAGTCTTGAATATAGATTAGTCTATAGTCTTGACTATAGATTAGTCTATAATCTTGACTATAGATTAGTCTATAGTCTTTATTATAGATTAGTCTATAGTCTTGAATATAGATTAGTCTATAGTCTTGACTATAGATTAGTCTATAATCTTGACTATAGATTAGTCTATAGTCTTGATTATAGATTAGTCTATAGTCTTGACTATAGATTAGTCTATAGTCTTGACTATAGATTAGTCTATAGTCTTGAATATAGATTAGTCTATAGTCTTGACTATAGATTAGTCTATAATCTTGACTATAGATTAGTCTATAGTCTAGACTATAAATTAGTCTATAGTCTTTACTATATTTAGGTTAGTCTATAGTCTTGACTATAAATTAGTCTATAGCCTCGACTATAGATTAGTCTATAGTCTTGATTATAGATTAGTCTATAGTCTTGACTATAGATTAGTCTATAGTCTTGATTATAGATTAGTCTATAGTCTTGACTGTAGAATAGTCTATAGTCTTGACTATAGATTAGTCTATAGTCTTGATTATAGATTAGTCTATAGTCTTGAATATAGATTAGTCTATAGTCTTGACTATAGATTAGTCTATAATCTTGACTATAGATTAGTCTATAGTCTTTATTATAGATTAGTCTATAGTCTTGAATATAGATTAGTCTATAGTCTTGACTATAGATTAGTCTATAATCTTGACTATAGATTAGTCTATAGTCTTGATTATAGATTAGTCTATAGTCTTGACTATAGATTAGTCTATAGTCTTGACTATAGATTAGTCTATAGTCTTGAATATAGATTACTCAATAGTCTTGACTATAGATTAGTCTATAGCCTTGACTATAGATTAGTCTATAGCCTTGACTATAGATTAGTCTATAGTCTTGACTACAGATTATTCTGTAGTATTGACTAAAGGTTAGTCTATAGTCTTGATTATAGATTAGTCTATAGTCTTGACTATATATTAGTCTATAATCTTAACTATAGATTAGTCTATATTCTTCACTATAGAATAGTCTATAATCTTAACTGTAGATTAGTATATAGTCTTGACTATAGATTAGTTTATAGTCTTGACTATAGATTAGTCTATAGTCTTGACTATAGATTAGTCTATAGTCTTAACTATAGATTAGTCTATAGTCTTGACTATAGATTAGTCTATAGTCTTGATTATAGATTAGTCTATAGTCTTGAATATAGATTAGTCTATAGTCTTGACTATAGATTAGTCTATAATCTTGACTATAGATTAGTCTATAGTCTGGACTATATTTAGATTAGTCTATAGTCTAGACTATAAATTAGTCTATAGTCTTGACTATAGATTAGTCTATAGTCTTGACTATAGATTAGTCTACAGTCTTGACTATAGATTAGTCTTTAGTCTTGACTATAGATTATTCTATAGTCTTGACTATAGATTAGTCTATAGTCTTGGCTTTAGATTGTTCTACAGTCTTGAATATAGATTAGTCTATAGTCTTGACCATAGATTAATCTATAATCTTGACTATAGATTAGTCTATAGTCTTGACTTTAGATTGTTCTACAGTCTTGAATATAGAGTTGTCTATAGTTAACTATAGATTAGTCTATAGTCTTGACTATAGATTAGTCCATAGTCTTGACTCATTAGTATATAATCTTAACTATAGATTAGTCTATAGTCTTGACCATAGATTAGGCTTTAGTCTTAACTATAGATTAGGCTATAGTCTTGACTATAGAATTATCTAGACTATATAATAGTGTATAATCTTGATTATAGAATGGTCTATAGTCTTGACTATAGAATGGTTTTTTTGTAAAATTTATCTATTATTTTTCTAAGTGTAACTATTGCTAATAGGTCATGTCATTATTTCGTTTTACTCGTTTTTTATTTTATTATATATTTGATATACCACAGTGTGGTATATCATTGTACATATAGTAATGTAATATTCAGAAACCTTTAAAATATAAATTGTATACAAAATTGAGTGTTAATTATTTCTAAAACGATATTGATACTTCGCATTAGTTATTAATAATAATTTTCCTAATGATAAGACACGAATTTAATTTACAATGGTTTAAACAACGACATATAAACTGATCGCATGAGTGCATTTGATTTGAAAAACTTTATTTTTATTACAAAATGACAACAAATGTGATTAAATAATTGACATAATGGTTTTGTTATAAACAGTTACATATGTATATGGTTACAATTTGTGAAATTAATATAAAAAGAGACAAGCAAAACACCTCAAACTTAATGGGTCTTGCAATATTGCAAGGGTGAATGAAATGAGAGGATTATAAAAATGTTTAATTTGCTTTCGAGTGTCAAAGTTTTAGAAAATACTCTTATCATAAAAAAGTACAATTCAAAATTCACTTTTTAATAGTTTTAAATTATAACTTTTATGACAAAACTTTTGGACGAAATAATATTTTCGATTTTATTGCAATTTAACCTTGCAAACTTGTTGATAAGAACATTTTTGTTGTTAGAAATTTTAATATGGCGCCAGAAAAAGAATTTCTTTAATTCTAATCTTATTGAAAGTGATTAGAAAAAAGAAATTGGACATGCATATATTTGAATACATACAATGTATTTATTATCATATGCAAAAAGTTCAATTTACTAATTGAAATGAAGATCAATATACTCTGTTTTTAAAGATTTCTTTTAGAAAAGTTCAACTTTAATCGATTTCAAAGTTTAGCTTTTAAACGATTTTAATTTGTTTTATTATTAATTAATATTTTTAAACAAAAATTACTTTATAATAATTAAAACTTATATTAACTTTCAGTTATTAATACACAGACAGAAAAATGACTACAAAAGAACCGAATGGACGCGTGGGGATGATTAAAAAACTACGGCGTTCCGCCTCGGCCAGTGAACACAATATGAGCGAATTGCGTAATCGTAAATCAACACAAAATCTATTCGATCAACATGGTACACCTATAGATCTTAAACAATTTCGTAAAGTTTTGGACAAAGAAGACAATAATGGTAATAATACAGAGAAAAAGTCTAGATATCGGAGGACACAGAGTGTAACCCGTGCTGAAGAAATAACAACCAAAGAAGAAAAACAACGTAAGGAACAACCCGATAAACCGTAAGTTGTATTAAATTATATATTTTTTTAGTAAATTCATGATTTTTTTTCTTTTTAGCTGCCATCGCCCCAGAGATTCTTTATTCTCATGGAGTTCTGGTTTTAGCAATTTTACCGGTTTAGTTAATTGGGGTTTCCTGTTATAACCATAGGAGGTTTTAGACTGTGCTTAGAAAATTTATTAAAGTAGGTTGTACTTAGGCAATTATTTGTTGATTTTGAAAAAATATGTCTAATTGTATACTATATTTTTATATTTGTTTAGATATGGCATTAGAATCAATCCAATTGAATGGTATTTCTTTTTAAGTGGCCGTAATGAAGGCGAAGGTCATGCATCGTTATTTTTAATTTCATGTAAGTTAAAATAGTATTGAGTCTTCGATATTTTAACAAAAATAATTACTTGATAACATTTACAAGTCCAACACAAACAAATACTTATTTGCAGATTCCATTATACATTTATCAATTTGCTTGATGGTCGAAAAAGGATTGGCAATGGTAAGTAAAAATTAATATTTCTAAAGTGGCGTTTCACTTTTTTTGGGATACTTTTGATTTTGTGTGTGGGAGAAAGAGATGGTTTATATTTCGCTCTCTTTTTTTTACACACAAAATCAAAAGTTTCCCAAAAAAAAGTTTACCTGTGTGAACCGGCAAAAACTAATTTCCATTAAAAATTATAAAATAATATTAATAAAAGTACTTAGAATCAGGCATGGAAAATTTAGTACTTTTTGATTACTAAGAGTACCGCAGTACTCCCACAACATATAAAGTACATTTTTATATTATAAAATTTGTTTATTACTCGAAGGCTTATCAATAGACTAATAGAATTAGTCAATAGAAGAATAAAAATATCAAGAAGTTCACTGGATAGTCAATAGACTAGTTCATGGAGATGTCAATAGATTAGACATTAGACTAGTCAATAGACGATTCTCAGCCCAGTAAATATACAACAGAGCAGTCAATAGATTTCTCCATGGAGTAGACAATAGACTAGTCCATAGACTTGTCAAAAGACTAGGCAATAGATTATTCAATAGACTTGACAATGGAATAGTCTACAGACTAGTTTATAGACTAGTAAATATACTAATTCATATGCTAGTCAACAGACTAGTTGATAGACTATAGACTTGTCCATAGCCTAGTCAACAGACTTATCCCTAGATTAGTCAATAGTGTAGTTAATAGACTAATCAATAGACTTATCCCTAGATTAGTTAATAGAGTAATCTATAGACTAGTCAATAGTCTAATCCATAGAATAGTCAATAGACTACAAAATAGAATATATAAGATAATAAACTTCATATGGTAGTCAATAGACTAGTTTATAGACAAGTCAATAGATTAAACATTATACTAATCAATAGGCTTCGACTAGACAACAGACTAGTCAATAGATATGTCCATGGACTAGATAATATACTAGTCCGTAAACTAGCCAATAGACTAGACAATAGATTAGTCAATAGACGATTCCATTGACTAGCCAATAGAATAGTCCACACACTAGTCTATATACTAGTTAATAGAATATTGCTTAGTCAATATTCTTGTCCGTAGATTTGTCTTTAGAATAATCAATACTAATCCATAGACTAGACAATAGACTATTCAATAGACTAGTCCATATACAAGTCAATAGATTTGACAATAAACTAGTCAATAGAAGATTACGTAGTCTAATCACTTTCCTAGTCTATAGAATAATCAATAGAGTAGTCTATAGACTAATCCATAGACTCTCCAATAGACTAGTCCATAGACTAGTAGCCAATAAATTAGACAAGGAACTTGTCAATATATTCCATAGTCTGGTCAATAGTCTGGCCAATAGACTAGTCTATAGACTAGGTAATAGAGTAGTCCATAGGCTAGTTGATAGACTAGCCAATAGACCATTCAATAGACTAGTTGATAGACTAGTTAATATACTAGTTGATAGACTAGTTGATAGACTGGTTGATAGACTAGTCAACAGACTAGTTGATAGAGTAGTCAATAGACTTGTCCATAGACTAGGCAATATACAAGTCAATTGACTAGTTGATAGAATAGTCAATAGACTTGTTCACAGACCACTCAATACTACTATTTGATAGACTAGTCCATAGACGAGTGAATAGAGTAGTCCATTGAATAATTGATAGACTAGTCAATAGACTAGTCCATAGACTAGTTGAAAGTCTTGGCTATAGACTAGTTAATAGAGTAGTCAACAGACTAGTTGGTAGAGTAGTCAACAGACTAGTTGATAGACTAGTCAATAAACTAGTCAATAGACAAGTTGATAGACTAGTCAAAAAACTGGTCAATAGACTAGTTGATAGACTAGTTGATAGACTAGTTGATAGACTAGTTGATATACTAGTAAATAGAATTATCTATAGATCAGTTAATAGATTTGTCCCTAGATTAGTCAAAAGATTAGTATACAGACTAGTCAATAGACTAATCCATAGAATAGTCAATAGACATTTCTATATACTAGTCAATAGACTTGTCCCTAGATTAGTCTAGTCAATAGACTTTTCTATATACTAGTCAATAGACTTGTCCCTAGATTAGATTATAGACTAGTCAATACTAATACATAGACTTGTCAATTCTTCTATAGACTAGTCCATAGATGTCATTTCGGAGCCAAATTAAGTCTGATTGATACTGATATTGAAATTTCAAAGTATTCAAACCTTTTCTCCCAGTAATTTCACATAAAACGGCTTTACATTTTGTATATAGTAGTAAATTTTTAATAATTTATCAGTTCACGCTTGAAATAAACAAAAATTTGTGCCTGCATTTTGAAAACGGAACCAATGTATTCATAATTTATGCTTTAAAGTTCAAAAAACTTTTTTAATTTTTATTCATTGATAATTTCACTTAACAACGCAACTTGATTCCCAAATTATGATAAGAACCAAATCACAAGTTTTGTATTAGAAAACCATCAAGAACAAACATTTTTAAGGTAAACATTTAAAATCAAGCGACTATATTCAACCGTCCATTTTTTCTCATTTTCATGAAAATGTGAGTTTGATGGCAAAATATTCGGCAAACAATCCTAACCACATGATATAAATTTCAACGAAAAAAACTTAACGAAACTCCAATACTAATAGTAGTCTGATTGCTTTTGGCTTTGACCTCGACCCTAATGCTTTGCAAACCCTGCTAATATAAATTCAAATTTTCGAACAGGAAAATGTTCAGCCTAATGGCTACGGAAACTGGTTATTTTTTATAGTATATTGAGAATAAAAACTAATTACTTTGCCAGCTAAATTAAAAAATTAAATAAACAATTAAAAAAAACTTACCTTTAAACACACCCCACAACAATTTATGATAATTTTGAATCTTGAAATCTCTTATATGAATCTTGAATATTTTAAAATTCAGCAAATCTGAAATATGTTTGAAGATATTTGATATTTATTTTTGCAATACTTTTACAAGTTTATAATTTATTTAATGCCAAAAAAACAATTGAATAGAAAAAAATAACAAAATTTTGAAAAAATGTAATAATATAAAAAAAACAGTAAAAAATGTGATAGTATAAGAAAAACTTACACAGAACAATTTAAATAATACGTACACCATATTGAGCGCAATATTTTTGCAAAGCCTGCTTATGATGATCACCAATAGCAGACACCATTTGGGGTACTTCACCAGGACGTACCTGAGCCAATTTAGCCAAAGAATCAGCTAAAAATTTACGGCCATCTGTGACTTCTGGCAGGAAATCTTGTGTTTTAGGTTGAGCATAGCTTAGTTGGGAAAAGGCTGCCTGATAACCGGAAGCATCATCGGGTTCAACGAAATTATCACCTTCTAAAGCTGTCTTATCGGGAGGCAATTCGAAGAGCTCAACTAAGGCCTGCAATAATCTAGACCAATTTTGATTGTAGGGTGGTGCCAACATGGCAGGACATTCACATAATATTTTCGAAATGCCAACAGCCACAATTTTGCGCTCTAATTCGAGAGAAACTTTAGCCATATCTTGTATGAAAACACGATCGACTACCATGCCAAACATATTGGCTTGTATTTGATCAATTAGTTCTACCAGAGCAGGTGCTCCCAACTTGGCGGTATAGTAACAGAAGAAAACAATAATACCTTTAACATATTTGGTAGTTTTGGACAATGACAAACGTTGGAATAACAAAGCAAAGATTTGACGCATGCTGGCCTGTAAATCATTGGGTGGATAATAGGTTAAAAGATTTTGTAAAAGGAAAAAGCCCTCATGATCATTGGCTTTAGAAGCAATCATTTTTTGGAATATACCCAAAATGGCATTCTAGAGAGAACAAAAAGAAAGATAAATTTAGAAAAATGTTTAATATTAAAAGATAAAACTAAAACTTACCAATTTCTCCATGGCTACAATTTGAGCTGAACCTTGTTTAATAAATGCACAGAGTAAACGTATAAGAGGGGTAACATTACCCGATCTATCCCATAGGGGAGGAGCTAACAAACAGGGAAATAGAGCCCAGTAAGGTTCGGGTATGGGTCCTGAACCCTCACGTATTTCCAAAAGTAAAGACAACATTTGAAACACATAAGGCATAAATTCCAAAATATCTTGTTGTAAAATGCCCTGGAAAACAGGGAACAAAACCTCTTCGAAAGAACTAACAGCAGCGGTTTCAGTTTTACAAACAATTCTATAAAAATTAGGAAAAAGAAAAACTTACAAGATTTGTGATTAAAATATTTAGTTTAGAACTTACTTGATGGCCAAGGAAATGGTTTCGAATAAATAATGATTGAAATGAGGTCTTGAGGGGTTTTTAGCTACCATAGTTAAAATCTCGGTAAGACGTGGTAAAGCCACACCCATAAAGGGCAGAGAATGTTCTTGTAATGAGGCAAAACTTCTCATTATTGCCTTCATAACATATTCATTTTCATTTGAGCCGGGCAAAGCTAAAGTGGCGAATAAAGCACCCAAAAGATCATTAGCCACTGGCGCCAAATGTTGGGGACCAATGCTAAAAAATAAAAGAAATAGGTATTAAAATACTAATTGAAATCAAAAATGTTGTTAACTTACAGTAAAGCATTTGCTGGATCTTTCATGGTGAAAATTCGCTCCAAAGCACAGGCAGCATAGCTGTGTACGACCACACTTTCAGCGGGTAAATGACGTATTAAATGAGGCATGGCAGCCAAAAGAGTTTGCTGGCCCAACAAACTGCGAAAAACCATGACAAATTTAAGAGCCGCCGATTTCAAAACAGGAAGTTCATTAACTGTAAAAAACAAACTTTAGTCTAATGAACAAACAACTTGAAATTATGTTAAAACTTACTATTAGGCCTCTCTAATTCGGGAACTATCTGTTGAGCACAAAATTCTGGCAAGGGAACCAATTCTGAAGCTTGTGTAATGCCATGTTTTTGGGTGCCACCGCGTGAAGCAAATGATGTAACCAAATAAATAGCAGTATCTTTGGCACGCCAATTGGCTACTGGGTTCTCCTTATATTTGCCCAATAAAATCTCTAAATATTGACCAAATATGCCAAAGATTTTAGATTCGAAATTTTGTGATAAAGTCTTAACCAAATCACAAGCCGCGCGACGTCTAGTATCAATATCAGAACCCTCGATATCACGACGTATATACTCTTCGGGACTGTCTTCGAAAAGTTCTTCATCCGATTGACGGAAATCCAAATTGGGTATAACCACTTTTTCGCAAATATTTGCTAAAATTTCAGGATTTTCAAAAATTTTGCGATATTGTGTACGTTCGGCAACGACAGACAAGAATTGCAAAGCATTGGAAACCAACTAAAGGTTAAAAAATATAAAATTTGTTTTTTATCTTAACTAAAATAACAAAGCACCAAACTTACCGCATCATATTTAGTTTGCATGCCAGTTCTAACCAGCAATTCCCATACGGCAGTAACAAATGTTTCCATGAAAGGAGCAAATTCTTCATCATATTTCTGAGCATACATGCCAATATTCTCACAAACTTGTGAACGCAAATGTTCCAAAACCCCAGCATCTTCATCATCTCCGGTATGCAAACAAGCTACATCTACTGTCAATAGCTCATGGAATGCTTTCATCCAAGTAGCCATATTATCTTCAAAAAATTCCGGCAAATCTTGTGAATTTAACGAATAGAAAACTTTGCACACCAACACCAAAGATCCGTAAATAACTTTCAATGCTTCCGTATTATTCTCGTGAACCTTAGTCAATTGCATAGTGGCCAAAAGTAAATCGGTTAAAGGTTTAGCCATACGATCCAATACCAATTTAATTTCTTCCCAAAGATTTTGTGATTTAAATTCATAACGGTAACGTTTGAATAATGAATGGGCCGTTTGTAAAACGCCATTAATAACATTAAAATCGCCAGTGGCAAATTTATCAACCATTTCATCGATAAGTTGTGGCCATTTCTTAGGAAAATCATATTTACCAATAATACTAACGGCATCACTGAGTTGTTTTTGCAAAGCGGGCGGTGAGCGCAACATAAGGGTGACAATTAGGGTTTTGATAGTGTTACGATCGTCAATGTGTATTTTATCGGGTATTTCAGAGTCCTAAAAAGGCGTTAAAGGAGGGAGAGAGGTATATGTAAATTCCAGTCCGAATAGATATGTATACATAATTTAAATTTTTTATAAAAATTTCAATAATACGATAATCTTGGGTAAATGGTTACAAAATAGTAAATGGCTTGTGCAAAATTTCATTTCAATCTCTAATCCTTCCTTCTCATGCCATCCTTTCAACACAATACTAACCTCATTTATAGCCCAATTACGTTTAATGTAGTTTTTAAAAGCAATGGAACCAGCCACACGTATTGTCATGTCCACATCCGCCTTGTCGATTAGATTCAATAACAACACCGCATAATTACGTTGCGTCTCTGTAGATTCTAGCAATTTCTCCGCTGTAAAAAAAAATAAAATTTTAAATATACATATGTAAAAGGTTCCACAAAAATATTTTTTCCTTTAAAAATCAACACAAAAACTTACCCGGTCTACGAATATTGGGATCGGGACTCAAAGTTTGTTGCAAATAGCCGGCTAACAATTGCAAATTTTCATTATTTACCTCCATTATGAAATTCTTCGGCTGATTAATTTCAACTTCGCACTTTATTAAAAGGAGGAATGTAAATTACTTTTTTTTGGATTGCTTTAACTTCAAATTATTTACAAATCGTTTAATTTTTTTACAAATTATTATATTTTCTCGATAAAAAATGCTTAGTTTATTGCAAATATTTCTTTTCCTTTTAGTTTAAATTATTTTTGCACAGCGTTTCTTTAGTTTTTCTTCAGCACAGAATACACATGCGAGCGGGAGAGAAATTGCAAACAAAAGATAATCAAAAAAATTCCGTTGGTTTAATACAACAAAACAAATAGCAACACTGGGGCAGAGGCCAACGCCGACAAATATTAGCGGCGTCAAAAGCAAAAATTTCAGCGACTGCTTAAAAACGACTGAAAGCCGGCTAAATTTTTATGTTTTTTAAAATTTCCAACAATTTAAATAAAAACGGAATCCGAGAGATTAAAAAGTGGAATTTTGGCAGCAAATATTTTAAAAATCGGAATTATTTGCCATAGTAGGAAATTTTTGTATTCGTGAATACTAATTTATTTATTTCTCTCGTAATGCAAATCATTTTCATGAGAGTTATATTTTATTATGTTGTTATCAAAATATCAAAAGAGAAATGACCAAGTAATAATGCAGATGTGGCCTCAGTTTCTTCTGATGAACTGTTTTCGTGAAACTAGTAAAATTTGCATTAAGAAACTAAAAAATATCGACTCAAAAGAAAAAATCTACTGTAACATAAGATGTCGACACCTTCGGCGGCGGTGGGGCTGGTAAAAATTTTGCGGCTGCTCGGCTAGCCGCCGTTCGCGCAATAAGGATTGCCATTTTGACATTGCGTTAATTAAATAATTTATGATAGTAATTTTATTCTGTTCGAATTATTTCTGTTCTTTTTTTTACAAAATTTCACAATTATAGGTAATACTTATTAACCTTTCCACGTGCATTATATACACTTCAAGCGATTTTTGCACTATAAAAATCAATGAATTTGAAGTATTTTTCGCGGGAATTTTTCCCGCTTGTGGCGGGTATGATGATTTTTGTGCCAGAGGTTGCCATACTATAATAATTGGGTAGTATGCCAATTAAACACAGATGTAAAGGGATTAAAACGGCAAAATGCGAAAGATTATTTTTAAATAAAAATTTAAATATAGGAGATCATATATTAAGATATTATTAAATTTAAAATTACTAATAAGTTTTATTTTTACAGGAAATCATTTCGGAAGGATTAGGCATGTTTATACAAGTGACTAACATTATTGTTGTAGTAGTCTTGCCAGTAGTTATAATGCATTTAAAAGGACATCTATTCAGTTTAAGTAAGTCTAGCTTTTAATTAAGAAAATATATATATTTAAATTTAACAATATGTACTTAATGCAAATATTTACAGTGGGTGCCACAACTGTGTGTTTCTTTTATTCAATAATATTCCTTAAATTATGGAGTTATGTACAGGTTAATATGTGGTGTAGACAAAACTATCATACTAAGCCCTATAATCCACGTAAAAGACGTCCTAGCATAACATTGGCACAATTAAGTAAGTTTTTCTAACAATTTGTTAATTCAATGAATAATTAATATTTTATCTTTTATCGCTTTAGAAAACGGTCAATTAGATGAAGTAGATGAAAAAGATGAAGATGTTCCCGTTTTGGTTCACTATCCCGATAATTTATGCTACAAGGATTTATTCTATTTCCTTTGTGCACCTACTCTATGCTATGAACTGAACTTCCCTCGTACCACACGTATCCGTAAACGTTTCCTATTGAAACGTATATTGGAAGTAGTGTTTGGTGTTAATGTAGTAATGGCTCTATTCCAACAATGGATTATACCTTCGGTGCGTAATTCTCTAATACCTTTTTCAAATATGGATATTGGTTTAGCAACGGAACGTTTGTTAAAATTAGCGGTATGTTTAAAATTAAGAAAATATATATTTTCTAAAATAATTAACAAATTCTATTTGATTCTTTAGTTACCAAATCATTTAGTTTGGTTGTGCTTTTTCTATTTAACCTTCCATTCCTTCTTAAATGCCATGGGTGAAATATTACACTTTGCTGATCGCAATTATTATAATGATTGGTGGAATGCTAATAATATTGATACATTTTGGAGAACCTGGAATATGCCGGTGCACAGGTAAATGTTTTTATTAAATTTAACATATTCTGAATGTGTTCTATGATATTAATGTGATAATTTTGCAGATGGTGTGTAAGACACTTATATATTCCTGTCGTACAAATGGGCTATTCCTCAAGACAGGCTTCCACCATTGTTTTTCTGATTAGTGCATTTTTCCACGAATATTTGGTAAGTAGTGTATTTCCCGATTGTTTTGGGACCTGCTAATAACTGTTAATTTTATTACAATTTATTTTAAGGTTTCTGTTCCTTTGCAAACATACAAAATTTGGGCCTTCCTTGGTATGATGGGTCAAATACCCCTTTCGGCCATCTCGAAATCAGTTGAACGTTCATTGGGTCCACGTATGGGTAATATTATAGTATGGGCTTCTATAATACTGGGCCAGCCGTTATGCATTATGATGTATTATCATGACTACGTTATAACTCACTTTAAAGATGCTTTAAATAGTACCGTTTATAAAGAACTTTAAAGGTGTGTGTAACTTTACATTTACCTCTTGGTACTTATGGCAGACAATATTATGTAAAAATAGTGTTTTTAGCGTTCTATAAAAAGTGAAACAAGGGCATAAGGTGGCAAGGAGATTCGGGGGTAAAGGGGGAGGAGGGAGACTAGGGGAAAGGAAAGAGGAAGGAAGAAAAAGGAGAAGAGGAAAGGGAGAAGAGACGAAAAGGGGAGGAGGGGGGAAGGGGAGGGGGGAGACAAAGGAGGGAGAAGGGGGACAAAAGAGGGGGGGAAAAGGGAGGGAAAAAAGCAGAGAAAAAAGGGAAAGAAAGGAGGAAAAAAGGGGGAGGGGAGACGAAGGGGGGGGGGGGGAAGAAGGGAGGAAAGGGAGGGAGGAGGGCGGAAGGGCCGGCCCGGGACGGCGCAGAGAAAGGGGGGGGGGGGGGAGGAAGGGGAGGGAGGGAGCGAGCGAGCGAGCGAGGAGCGAGCGAGAGAGCGAGCGAGCGAGCGAGCGAGCGAGCGAGAGAGCGAGCGAGCGAGCGAGCGAGCGAGCGAGCGAGCGAGCGAGCGAGCGAGCGAGCGAGCGAGCGAGAGAGCGAGAGCGAGCGAGCGAGCGAGCGAGCGAGCGAGCGAGCGAGCGAGCGAGCGAGCGAGCGAGAGAGAGAGCGAGGAGCGAGCGAGCGAGCGAGCGAGCGAGCGAGCGAGCGAGCGAGCGAGCGAGCGAGCGAGCGAGAGCGAGCGAGCGAGCGAGCGAGCGAGCGAGCGAGCGAGCGAGCGAGCGAGCGAGCGAGCGAGCGAGCGAGCGAGCGAGCGAGCGAGCGAGCGAGCGAGCGAGCGAGCGAGCGAGCGAGCGAGCGAGCGAGCGAGGAGCGAGCGAGCGAGCGAGCGAGCGAGCGAGCGAGAGCGAGCGAGCGAGCGAGCGAGCGAGCGAGCGAGCGAGCGAGCGAGCGAGCGAGCGAGCGAGCGAGCGAGCGAGCGAGCGAGCGAGCGAGCGAGCGAGCGAGCGAGCGAGCGAGCGAGCGAGCGAGCGAGCGAGCGAGCGAGCGAGCGAGCAGAGCGAGCGAGCGAGCGAGCGAGGAGCAGCGAGCGAGCGAGCGAGGAGCGAGCGAGCGAGCGAGCGAGCGAGAGCGAGCGAGCGAGCGAGGAGCGAGCGAGCGAGCGAGCGAGCGAGCGAGCGAGCGAGCGAGCGAGCAGCGAGGAGCGAGCGAGCGAGCGAGCGAGCGAGCGAGAGAGCGAGCGAGCGAGCGAGGAGCGAGCGAGGAGCGAGCGAGAGAGCGAGCGAGCGAGCGAGCGAGCGAGCGAGCGAGCGAGCGAGCGAGCGCGAGCGAGCGAGCGAGCGAGCGAGCGAGCGAGCGAGCGAGCGAGCGAGCGAGCGAGCGAGCGAGCGAGCGAGCGAGCGAGCGAGCGAGCGAGCGAGAGCGAGGAGCGAGCGAGCGAGCGAGCGAGCGAGCGAGCGAGCGAGCGAGCGAGGAGCGAGCGAGCGAGCGAGCGAGCGAGAGAGCGAGCGAGCGAGCGAGCGAGCGAGCGAGCGAGCGAGCGCGAGCGAGCGAGCGAGCGAGAGCGAGCGAGCGAGCGAGAGAGCGAGAGAGCGAGAGCGAGCGAGCGAGCGAGCGAGCGAGCGAGCGAGCGAGCGAGCGAGCGAGCGAGCGAGCGAGCGAGCGAGCGAGCGAGCGAGCGAGCGAGCGAGCGAGCGGCTATTATCTATTATCTATCTATCTATCTCTATCTATCTATCTATCTATCTATCTATCTATCTATCTATCTATCTATCTATCTATCTATCTATCTATCTATCTATCTATCTATCTATCTATCTATCTATCTATCTATCTAACTATCTATCTATCTATCTATCTATCTATCTATCTATCTATCTATCTATCTATCTATCTATCTATATCTATCTATATCTATCTATCTATCTATCTATCTATCTATCTATCTATCTATCTATCTATCTCTATCTATCTATCTATCTATCTATCTATCTATCTATCTGTCTATCTATCCACTTATTAATCGTCGAAAACTTTTTAAGAATTTTCATTTTAATTTATGTTCCCTAAAGTACTACTTCACTTCTTTAAGTGTAATATTATTGCCAGACCTTAATTTGTTTATACTTTTAGTTCGTAAAGAAACCATCTGGCAAGCCTAAAAAACGATGCATACAAACAGCGCCGCTGTCGCGCTTATTTTCCGCCGTCTGTCTGTGCAAAAAAAAGTTTTGAGTCCCAAAAAATACTATTTGAAACAAATAATAATTAAAGAGAACTACAAAAAAGTGTTATACAAATAAACTATTAAATATTCAGTTAGTGAGGTGCAAAATTAAGTAAAATAAAATATTGTAAAGCATCAAAAAAAGCTGGCAAATATAGCGGCAAACATTTTACTAAGGTGAGGTTAGAAGAGTTTTTTCCTTAATAAATTCTAAGTCGATATTTTAGTTTTTTTTTTTATGCTTCGCTTTTATAAACGCGAACGTCAGTATACATACATTTTTACAAACATACATTATTTATAATTTTCCGTAATAAAAAATTGTTGTTGTTGGGTATGTGCGTTAAAAACAAAAAAACAAAAAAAAAGAGAATTTATTTTGAGAATTTTAGCAATAGAAGTAGAGAAAAAGTATGGAGTGCATGTGTTTAGCCACACTGTAGAGAAAACCCGGCATTAATAATAAAAAAATAGTACAAAATTGTTTAAATATATTGTAATAATTAAGAAAAAAATGTTATTAATTTCTAGAAAAGTTATACAGCAAACAAAACAGCCTATAAAACTAAAAAGTTTTTTACCGGCACCCGCAAAAACTACACAAGTTTTAGGGGCAAATAACTACCAAGTGTTACGCCAAAAACAAGGAGATTTATTTAATAAAACCTCAATTTCATCAGCTTTAGCAGCAGTGAATAGTCACGTAAGTTGAAAAAAAAACAAACATTTATTTCACTTGATGGAGTATTAAATATGTACTACTTAGACTAATTGTAGTAAATGTATATTTAACAAATTATTTCATAAATTTTAATTTGTTTAGATCATGAGTGGCCGTCAACGTAGCGGTGGTAATAGTGGTCGTTTTGGTGGCAGCGGTGGTGGAGGTTATGGTGGTGGCGGCTATGGAGGCCGTGGTGATTATGATAACTATGGTAATGGTGGTTATAATGGCGGCGGTTATAACGGCAATAATGGAATGAATCCTTTTGGAAATAGTAAGTTAAGATCAAGGTGTTTATACCTACATATATTTTTTCTTATGAAAGACTCCTTTATACTCACGCACTTTTACATAACTAACAAATATTAATTATTGATAACATTAGATGTTTCATCATTTTGATTGTTGATTTTTGCAGAAATATATGGAGGGGATTGTTTTTTCGATGATGTTTTGTTAGGATTTCTTAACTTTACTTAATTTTATAACTAAGAAGTTAAACGCTGTTTGTGACAAATTCATAAATTCTTAATAAAGCTTTCGATGGTTTATTGTAGGAAAATGTGCTTTAAGAAATCGGACGGGGGTTAATATTTCGTTTATTTAACGGGTAATTTACTGAAATTTTTAGTAAAAAGTTTTATCGATTTTCTTTATAAACATTTTTAAAAATACAGTGTTTTTAAATGTTACAAACATCTATAGTACAAACACATAATTCCCTACTCACTATCGATGGTGTCGTATATAATATAAAACAAAATATAAATATAAAACTTTTCTTTAATTTCCTATTTTTAACATTACACAGTGCCCAATAACATGTCCGGAAATGATCTCATGCAAATAATGAATGCAATGGCTAGTGGTTTTAATATGAATCCACCACCGCCACCGCCAATGCGTATGGGCTGTGGTGATTTACGTGTTCATCATGCTGGTATGTTTGTAGAGTTGACAGGACGTTTAATTAAAAAACGTGTAACTCGTTTTATGGAATTGAGAGATCGTGGTAATAGTGCCTGTCAATTAGTAGTTTTGGAAGATCGTGTAAGTAAATAGGGGGAATAGCAATTATTGTACATAATACTTGTATGCATTAACAACTTAGAGAAATGGGGAATAATGTAATATTTTTATGATAACTTATATAAATTACAGCATCCTCGCGTTGCTCGTCGTCTAATTAATATGCCCGAGAATACGGTAATATCTATAGTAGGTTTGGTACAAAGACGTCCGCGTAACTCTTGCAATCAGACAATGCCAACCGGAGATGTTGAGGTGGAGGTACAAGATATACTTACCATCGATTTCAACTCAAATTCCAAACGAGCAGGCGATAAACGTTCTTATAGTACAATGGCCCAACAAAATAGTACCGCTATTACTAGTACTGAATATAAAATTGCCAGTAAGTGCTTTATGGTTTAGATAATGTAAATCTTTTGTTAAACTTGTAACTTGTTTTAGAATCTGAAAATGTATTGAAATATTTTGAAAATCGTGATATAACTTGTAATGATGTTAGACGTCGTGATATTGGCAAAGATGTCACTTTAGTTGGCTGGGTACCTACCGGTAAAACTAATAAATTTATTCAATTAAAAGATGGCTATGGACAAACGCAAATTATTATCGAAGATCAAGCTGTAAGTTGAGAGTTTTTGTAGATTTAGTTTTAGTTGTTTTTAATAAGTTTGTTTTATTGTTTTTAGTTGCAAGATACTGTAACTGGTGCTCCCGAGGGTACGGTTATACAAGTTACAGGCAAAGTTTTAGGTAGACCTCGTCAAAATATAAATATGGTAAATATAATTTGAAACTTTTTTTAAAAATGAAAACAATATTTATAAAATATTTAAATCCTATTCAAGTAGGAATCAAACTCGAGCCTAAAATTATTATAATATGAATAAAATTAAAAAATACTTATAAAGTTAAAAGAACACCTATCAAAAATCGACTTTTCGATTATTTGGAATTATGAAAAGTCGACTTTTCAACTTTTTACAGTTTACGAAAAGTAGATGTTTTGAATTTTTTACAATTTTGGATATGACGACTTATATGAACTTTTGATATCGATTTTTCGACTTTTATTTAAAAAGTCGACCGTTTTCCTATTTACAGACAGACTTTCTTGAACAAAAGTCGACTTTTTCGCCAAAAAGTCGATTGTTTTAAAGTCCATTTATAAAAGTTTAATATAAACTAGCAGACTGAGAAAAGATACATTCCATTTTGCTTTGAGTTTTGAATTTAACATTTTCTATAATTCCTTAAAACATTACAATTTAAACACATTTCTTGCTACAGATAGGATTCGAACTAGAGCCTGAAATATTTGTTCAGTTATTCATAAAAACATATTTTTATAACATACTAACGCGTCAATTAATTTCATAGAAATACGATACTGGCGAAGTTGAAGTAATGGTTGAAAAGGTTAAAATTCTTAATCCTGAGGATCCCTACGATGGTCCCATCAAGGAAAAAGATAAGGTCAAGAAACTTTCTATTAATGACATCGATGAAAATGCTGAAGGTGGTGAGGCCAAAAATGGCGAAGCCACCGAAGATGGTGGTAATGCAAAACCAGCTGGCTCTGGAAATGTTATTAAAGTTGCTGATCTCAATAAGTTTGCCAATCGTACCCATACATGTGGTGAATTGACTAGTGATAATATTGGTGAAAAGGTGTCAATTTGTGGCTGGTTGGAATTTCAACGTATGGGTAAATTTTTCATACTACGCGATGGTTATGGTCAAACTCAGGTTCTTATAACCGACAAGACAAACGGTTTGGATGATAATGAACAGGGTATTGCATTAGAATCTATAGTAAAAGTTGAGGGTACAGTTATTCCTAGACCGGCAGCAACTATAAATCCTAAGATGACTACAGGCCACATTGAGATTGAGGCTGAAAAAATTGAAATACTTAATGCGGCTAAGAGAAATTTACCCTTTGATGTGCGTAAATTCAATAGAGCTGGTGAACGTTTGCGTTTGACACATCGTTATATAGATTTAAGGTAGGCGAGTCTTTTGGAAACTAATTTCAAACTTTTGCTTTAATATAGAACATCTATTACTTGTAGATTTGCCGATATGCAGCATAATTTACGTATGCGCTCACAAGTTATTATGCGTATGCGTGAATATCTTATAAACTATTTGGGTTTTGTTGAGGTAGAAACACCCACACTTTTCCGCCGCACACCGGGTGGTGCTCAAGAATTTGTGGTGCCTACACGCAAACCAGGTCATTTCTATTCACTCGTTCAGAGTCCTCAACAATTTAAACAAATGTTAATGGCTGGTGCCATAGATCGTTATTTCCAAGTTGCTCGCTGTTATAGAGATGAGGCCACACGTCCCGATCGTCAGCCTGAATTTACTCAACTCGATATTGAATTGTCCTTTACTACTCGTGATGATATAATGCAATTGATTGAGGAAACTTTACGTTATTCATGGCCCAAGGAATATACCAAAATTCAAACACCCTTCAAACGTATGACCTATAATGAGGCCATGGAGAAATTTGGTACCGATAAGCCAGATACACGTTTTAGTCTAGCTGTAAGTATTTTTAAATCATTTAATGTTTAGAGATTTTTTCATAAATTCTGTTTTCAGTTAACAAATGTTACCGAAATTATTAAAAAGAATGAAACATTTGTTGAGAAATTCAAAGATTTGGGTGCTTATGCTTTAATAGTACGTGGCAATGGAGGTTTCTGGAATGGTACTGCTCGTAAACATTATGAAAGTCTTTCCAAAGAATTCTCTGGCACCTTGTTCGTTCGCAAGTTTTTGGTAGGTTTAGAAAACATTTAGAAATTTAAGTTAAATTTTAATATTAATTGTATGTATTTTATTATTTCTATAGCAATATAAAGATCTTAAGGATCGTTTAACTAATCTATTAACTGCTGATGTTGCCTCGGAATTAATTACCAAATATGATATAGAAGAAAATGATTTGCTATTTTTGGGTATTGGTGAAAAAATTGAAACGGTAAGTTTGTTTTCTATTTCGCATAATCATAAAAAACGTACTGAACGAGACTTGGAAGCATTCATGATTAAGAAGTAAAATGTACCAGCAGTTAGACAATAGAAAAAGTACCTTTTATAGAAAAGTTATAAGCCTAACATATAAAAAGTACGCAAATGATCATAAAAACGCACTGAACGAGACTTTGATGTATTGATAATACGAATTATAAGAAAAATTGAAAAACTACTTTTTATAGAAAAGGACCTTTATAAGATATAAAAGGTACCATAAATTTCCCTTCCTCAAGATATGCAGAATTCTACCGATCTTTTATTATGCCTGAACAGTACCCTTTCTCTCCGATATGAATTAAAAAATGTTAAATAATTATTAATATGTAGTTAGTATTTATGCTTAAAATTCTTAAAATTTCTTTCAAAATTGTTAAGTTCGAAATGGGAAAATGTAGAAAATTGAACTCATATAAAGCTAAAGCTATGAAACCCCTTGATTTAAAGATTATTTTTAGAGTTAATACAATTTTTCGAAGTTAAGTTCGAATTTTTGAACATAAGAAAAAAACATTATTTTCAAAACTACATTAAAAAAATATAAAAATTCATGAAAACTTTAAAATTTCTTTCAAAATTTTGAAATTCAAAATTGGAAAATGAAAGAAATTGAACTCATAAAGCTAAAACTATATTTTTATGAAAACTCTCTATTTGAAGATCATTTTAAGAGTTTTTAAAAATGTTCGAAGTTAAGTTCGAATGTTCAAACATTCAAAAAAAAAAAACATTTTCTAAAACTACATTAAAAAAACTATAAAAAATCACGAAAATTTTGAAGTTTCTTTAAAAATTTTTAAGTTCGAAATTGGAAAGGCAAAGAAATTGAACTCATATAAAGCTAAAACTATATTTTTATGAAACCCCTTGATTTAAAGATCATTTTAAGAGTTTTGAAAAATTTTCGAACTTTAGTTTGAATTTTCGAACATTCGAAAAAATATTATTTTCTAAAACTACATTAAAAAAATATAAAAAATCATAAAAAATTTAAAATTTCTTTCAAAATTTTGAAATTCGAAATGAGAAAATGTACGAAGTTGAACTCATATAAAGCTAAAACTATATGTTTTAATGAAACCACTCGATTTGATAATTTTAGGAGTTTTTAAAAATTTTCGAAGTTAAGTTCGAATGTTCAAACATTCGAAAAAAACTTTTTCTAAAGCTCCATTAAAAAAAACTATGAAAATTTTGAAGTTTGAAATTGGAAAAATAAGAAATTGAATTTCAACTAAAAATATTTACATTTTTATGGAACCTTGTGATTTAGAATTTTCGAACATGTCGAAAAAAACTTATTTTCCAAAACTTATTTAAAAGTTTTGAAATTTCTTTGTTCAAAAATGATTTTGGCGATCTAAAGTTCTAAAATTTAAGAGTATTTAAAGAAATCTTTAGATTTAAAAATTATTTTCTAATGATTCAGATATAAAAAAAAATTTCGAACTTAAGTTCGAATTTTCGAACATAGCAAAAAAGTCTTATTTCCTAAAACAGCATTGAAAGAATTATAAAAATTGAAGAAAAGGTTATAATTATTTTCCAAAATTTAAAATTCGAAATTGAAAAAAATGAAAATTTGATGATCTAGATAGATAAAAATTTGTTCCAACATAAAAGAATTCTCAAGAAGTCTCATGATTTAGAAATTATTAAAAAAGTTTTAACAAATTTTAGGAGATATGTAATATTGAACGTTTTAATTTAAATCCGAATGCCAAATTGTAAACTAATCCGTTTGCGAGAATTCAAAAACTTTCATAAAAATATACCAGAAAATTTCCGAAAAGTGATTTTATACAAACACAATATCAGTTTAAGACTTATAAACAGTTTAATCCTAAAAAAGTGCTAAAGACTATCCGATGTGCCAAATTACAAAAAAAAAAAAATATCGAAAATCATATAACAAAAGTTTAAGTTAATTCCCTATCGAAATAACTTAACAAATCTGACAAAAGTTTAAAAAGGAAGACGACAAAATACAAACATCGAGACTACAATCAAGACTTTCATCTCACGTACTCATTTTAAACTGAAATTAAAAATTAAAAAAAACAAAACACATTTTTTTCCTCTCAATATAAAGCAAAAACTCTTGGGTAAAATTCGTGTTGACTATCACAACTTTTTGATCGAAAATGGCAGAGCTCGTAAAAATTACGATAATAAATTTGTATGGATCATAGATTTTCCAATGTTTGAACTTAATCCAGAAACTGGCAATTTGGAGAGTGTTCATCATCCATTTACGGCGCCCCATCCCGATGATATGGAGGATTTCATTAATTCTAAATCAGAAGATTTAGTCAATATACGTTCACAAGCATATGATTTGGTATTGAATGGTCAAGAGGTGGGTGGTGGTTCGATACGTATACATGATCGTGATATGCAACATTTTGTTTTGGAACAAATTTTAAAAATTCCCCATGATCATTTGGCACATTTGCTTAATGCCTTGGAATCGGGTTGTCCACCACATGGTGGTATAGCCTTGGGCTTAGATCGTTTAATGGCTATCATATGCCGAGCAGTATCGATACGTGATGTAATAGCATTCCCTAAATCTCTAAATGGACGCGATCCATTGTCCAGTGCGCCTGTACCCATATCTGATGAGGAAAAAGCTCTATATCATTTGTCAATTCTTGAGGGTAACGGTGGTGAGCATGAAGAAGCCCATGGCCAGGAAGATACTGATCCAGATGCTGTACGCGCCTCGCCTTCACCTTCGGCTATGGATGAAGATCAGCCGGCTGTAAACGAAGAAGAAATGCCAGTCGATGAGGAACCACCAGCCGTTGTTGAAAAAACTAAAACTGAGCAAAAAAGCCCGCAAAAAGAAGAAACCGTTAAACCTAAACGTGTTGCTAAGAAGAAGCAATAAGTTCTATATAACACACAAATGCCGCATACATTTTCTCTCTCTCTCCCTCTCTCTCCCAATGAAGCGCAATTTAAACATCATATTCATTCAACATTATTATTATCCTGTTTGATTAAGAATTCTTTATAATTGCTATAGGAAATCATAATTTTGTTGGATGTATGTGAATTATTATTGCCTGTATACTATAAAGGAAGTATTTAATTTTTACCCCCAATTATTATTTTACTTACTTTTTCTTAATTAATATTTAATTATATACTTTTTTTTTTAATATTCACTTACTGTTCGAAGTGATTTTATTATTACACATTTACATATGTATGTTTTAGATTTGTTGTCTCAATAAATTATCATTAAACTATATAACTACATACATACATGCATATATATAAAAGTTTTATTGATTGAAAATACATTTAAAATTAATTATGAAATGTAACAACGGTGTTTTTATTTATTTTAATAATGGGACTTATTTATTTGATAAATAAATTGAAAAAAATAATTTATTTAACATATAAATTCGTTTTTTTATTATTTTCAAATCGAAGTAGTATTCAAAAAGTGATTTTGTTATTGGTTTTCTGGCTTTTGCAGTCTTTAAATGTCTAATTTAAGTTAAAATTTTCGAACAAGAGTAAATTCTGAAACTTCATTGAAAATACTTTAAAATTTATGAACCATTTTTAAATTATCTTACTAAATTTTTATGTTCGAAATTGGAAAATTTAAGATATTGTCCTCGTAAAAAACTAAAATTATAATTTTAGGAATCCTCATTAAAAGCTCATTTTAAAAACATTTATATATTTCGAACATTACTTCGAATTTTCGAAAATTTTTAGAATATTGAATATGAATAATCATTTCATTATTTAAATTAAATTAGAATTTCCAAAAAAAAAAAATCTAATTTAATTTCGAGTTTTCAAAAATACCATTACTTTATGTTCTGAATTTTCATGGAAGACAAATTTCAACCTATTAAAGTTCGAAATTGATTCCAATAAAAACTAATATCTCGTTTTTCTGAATCCAGTTTATGTATTAAGGCATGATTAGTTTAGGTTGTCACATATAGCCGAAAAGAAATATGGCTTCACTAGGGTCTAAAATTAATCCCTTTGTATGAAGGAAATTGAAGTACAATTTGTGGTATTCGTGAGTCGTATAGCGGCCACATGATCTTCGCCTGTCTACAGGTAGCTTCAATCGACCATCTGTATTGAGCAAGATCATGGAGTTTATCACAAATCGAGCGTTTGTAGATTGAAAGCGGTTTGCTGACGAGAGGAGCTGTTGATAACCAGTACAGTCCTAATGTGGAATGTTTCCCCATTTCATTTATGGATGTCTGGAATTCTATGGCCAAGTGCGATGTTGTAAAAACACCCCCTATAGGGCGGCATGACTATCAGTGTATAATCGAATATCATCATTGTATATTCTATAAAATCTGAGTCAGTTTGCAGTCCATTTTATGGCCTGAAGAAGGACACATTCGTCTCAATATGTGCCATATAAAAGCCACCACCATCTATTAATTTAGAGGTATCGGTGACACGAATCATCACGGAGGATTGATTTAGATCGTGTTTAATCGACTATGAAAAGCTTCTCTCAAAAGATAGATTGGGGATTCTATACTAAATGTTGTCTGGGATTTCTCCCAAACAATTGATTATAGTAGAGTAGCCTGAGTCATATGTCATATACGGATTTCACTGAGTTTAATCACTGAGTTGAGGGCAACATCTTGAACCAATTCATCATGACAAAAAGATCTTCTCATTAGCGCTGATGAGCGAATGATTCATTAAAAACTCATATATTCGAAAGAATTTCCACCAGATAAATGCTCCATAGAATTGTATAGCTTTACAACCACAGGAATTCCCGATTGCTCTCCTGCATGAGAATGCTGCAGCAGCCGCTTTGTTAACTATGGATTGATTGTTCAAATCATCAGATTCAGCCTAATTTAGCTTCTCTTAAGACACCATTTTTAGAAAGTAGTTATTTTACCCACCATATGGAATATATGGCAGTCTATTTTCTCTATATTAAGCTTCTAGCTGTTGCAAACTATAAACAATAATCATTTTTGTTTTTCTGAAATAGATTTTATATATTTTTTTGTTTTATTTACACTTCTAATTAGTTTTATATACCACACATTAGTGATAAAGAAAATTAATCGATGATATTAAAAATTTAAACCTAATATTAATGAAAATGTATAAACTAATAACTAATTCTTAACAGCAACTGAAGCTTGGGCAGCTTTTTTAGCTGCTTTCTTTGAGGCCTTTTTCTCTTCCTTAGTTTTGGCATCGATAACACGACGTTTCTTTTTCAACAACCATTCTTCTTTTTCCTTTGATTGTTTTTCGCGTATCAATTTACGGAAAAGATTACGATGTCTAGGCTTAACCATACGAGCCTGCAGACGATGTTCGTCCACTTCACTTTTGCGCAACAAACGTTTGTTTTCTTTATGTACTTTGCCGGACTGTACAGCCATTTTCTTTTTCTAAAGAAAAAAAAAAATAAAATTTTAATAATGCTAATATTTTAGTTAATGTTAACAATTTTAAATTACCTCTTGCAAACGTAATTTTTCTTTTTCATCCAATTCTTCATCATCTTCGCTGCTAGCTTCTTCATCCTCGACTTCATCTTCATTGACATCATCACCATATTGCTCGAATTCTGCCTTTTCCTCTTGATAGGCTTGTTGTAATTGAGCATCTATTAGGTTTTGATTTTCTTCATTATTTTCCATTTCTTCTTCGTTTTCTGAAGATTCAGCATCACTTTGTTCGTGTGTCTCAATCAAAGAAGGATCGTGCAATGATTTCTCCTCAGGAGGTATATAAGCATCACGATTAGCTTCCACGAAGGGCGAAAGATGAGGTGGCAATACTACGCCCATGAAGTATTTGTTGGTAGGCAACAATTGACGTCTATTAATGCAATCAAACACCCATTGTGGCTGAACATAATCTCTTGAAATATATTGTTTACTAAGGCTTGGGCGATCAACAATTTGATGTGTGATGGTTTCATCTGTCTCTTCAAAAGTAGCTCCTGGGAAGACGGTAGAATCCCAAGAAACTTTTCCACCAAAAGAACGAATAAGTATTACCAATGGTTCACGGGGAACTTCACGGTTTATAAAGATTTTAAGACCCTTGAATAAACTCTTTAGACGTGCAATTTCTTGAGCCTCTTGCTTCATTTTCAAAACACGTTTGGAGTCTCCATCCTGTTCCAATAACTCCAAATCCATTTCATTTTCTTCTTCATCCTCTTCCACTTTGTCAGTGCGCATAAGTTGGAAATTTAAAGCAGCTATGCGGTCAGAAACGAAAGATGCTTCATCCTTTAGGGTCTCTTCGCTGTCATTTAAGACACCAGTGGGAAATTGTGGTGGATAAGCAAGATTAATGCTGTTATATAAACGGAAATTGACGAAACCCAACATGACAGTGTAGAATTCAACAAAAATTGACATTACTTTAAAGTCAACCTCGGCCTTAGAATGTGGTTTGAATGGGTAGTAATGAGGTACTATCCAGGTTACTTTTTGTCCCTTTATATCGGCTTGGAAATAATAACCTTTTATTGAAATGAACACCTTTCTCAATGACTTGGAGGCAATGATATAATGTAAAAATTCGATAGTCAAACGACGGCACAAAACAGACTGCTCACGTGGAATCAATCTCAAGGAAGGGAAGGTACTGAATAGGAACAACAAAGTCAGACAATCGTCCAAATCTTTAATAGCATCTATAAAGGTAGGATAACGTTCTTTAACAATATGGTCAATTTTTAATTCAGGAAATTGAGCCAAACGTCTTTTCAAGTTGCGGAAATCTTTAATAGCACGATCGCGTCCGGTCTTTTTGGCAAAAATCTAAAAATGGAGAAAAAAAGTGGAAATTTAAATAGTGGTTTCACGTTTTTTACATCATGGAATTAACAGTTCTGACTTGACTGCAAATTACCATGTTAACACGTCTTAAAAATTGTATTTAACTCACTTTGTAATCACGCAAAGTCCAAACTATAGGCTCGTGTAATAAGAATCTTATATCCTTAGCATGATAGAGAATTTTTATATCTGAAGAACCTTTCTGTGCACGGCGACGATGTTTAGGTTCTCTGGGATAGACACCTTTAACAATGCACAAACGACGAAAATCATTTAGGGACAATTGTAATTTTCGTAAAGCAGCTCTACGTGTGATATATTGGGTAGCCTCACCGGATTCATACTGTAATTATTAAAATTGTTAATAATTTAATACATTTTTTTATTTATTTTACACCTACCTTCTTGGGACGACGCATTTCTATATATTTTTCACTTTTTATTCACTAAATAATTTAAAATAAACTAAAATAAGAAAACACGTGTGTTGTCTGCTAAAGTTTTTTTTTATTTTGTAAATGCTCGAATTGAATGGGTGTGTGAAAACGTAGTTTTTCTAATCAGCAGGGCAGTATTTATTGGTAGCGCATGGTGTTGCCACATCCTTGGAAAATATCAATGGATTTTTTTTATAGAAAAACAAATGTTGGTTGTGCAAGTTTTTTTTGAAAAATTTGTTATTGCAGGAAATTTAATAATTAAGCTTTTCATCAAGTATAATTTCGGATAGATTTAAATGCCTAAAACTGTATTTTATTTTTTCTTTTTATTTATATGTATATTTTAATTACTATATATTTTCAATAATGCCAATCCGTTTGTAATTTAAACAATATAATTTTTTGGCCCCTTGTATTTTCTGGACCGACCCAAATCTTCAATAATTCAGAGAGAGTCTCCTATATAAAATCCGTCCATAAATAACGGAGAATGTTAGTTCATGGTTTGAAAATGAAAATAACAACAACATACGCTCTATCTATCTATCTATCTATCTATCTATCTATCTATCTATCTATCTATCTATCTATCTATCTATCTATCTATCTATCTATCTATCTATCTATCTATCTATCTATCTATCTATCTATCTATCTATCTATCTATCTATCTATCTATCTATCTATCTATCTATCTATCTATCTATCTATCTATCTATTATTATCTATCTATCTATCTATCTATCTATCTATCTATCTATCTATCTATCTATCTATCTATCTATCTATCTATCTATCTATCTATCTATCTATCTATCTATCTATCTATCTATCTATCTATCTATCTATCTATCTATCTATCTATCTATCTATCTATCTATCTATCTATCTATCTATCTATCTATCTATCTATCTATCTATCTATCTATCTATCTATCTATCTATCTATCTATCTATCTATCTATCTATCTATCTATCTATCTATCTATCTATCTATCTATCTATCTATCTATCTATCTATCTATCTATCTATCTATCTATCTATCTATCTATCTATCTATCTATCTATCTATCTATCTATCTATCTATCTATCTATCTATCTATCTATCTATCTATCTATCTATCTATCTATCTATCTATCTATCTATCTATCTATCTATCTATCTATCTATCTATCTATCTATCTATCTATCTACATCTATCTATCTATCTATCTATCTATCTATCTATCTATCTATCTATCTATCTATCTATCTATCTATCTATCTATCTATCTATCTATCTATCTATCTATCTATCTATCTATCTATCTATCTATCTATCTATCTATCTATCTATCTATCTATCTATCTATCTATCTATCTATCTTCTATCTATCTATCTATCTATCTATCTATCTATCTATCTATCTATCTATCTATCTATCTATCTATCTATCTATCTATCTATCTATCTATCTATCTATCTATCTATCTATCTATCTATCTATCTATCTATCTATATATCTATCTATCTATCTATCTATCTATCTATCTATCTATCTATCATCTATCTATCCTATCTATCTATCTTCTATCTATCTATCTATCTATCTATCTATCTATCTATCTATCTATCTATCTATCTATCTAATCTAATCTATCTATCTATCTATCTATCTATTCTATCTATCTATCTATCTATCTATCTATCTATCTATCTATCTATCTATCTATCTATCTATCTATCTATCTATCTATCTATCTATCTATCTATCTATCTATCTATCTATCTATCTATCTATCTATCTATCTATCGATCTATTATCTAGATATCT